GAATACAGCTGGTAAAAGAAAAAGTGTTTGAATGCGTACATTAACAGGTTTATGATATCACTGCCCCGTCCAAGACACGATCTGACTTTAATTACATTTGTCTCGAGTGTTTCGTCAACTTAATGTGTTGCTTAAAATAATACTTCTGCATACAGTATGTGACACTGTAAGTGTTGCACGGCCAGATATGGCTCAGCTGACTCAGATAAGGAAATATATGATACATGATGTGATATGCCGCGGAATGTACTTATTGTTACTCTGATCCGGTTACTTATGTTGTGGCAGATATTTAAGTAAGCTTTCTTAACGCTAATGTTATAATAGTCAGATTAATCTGAAGATGGGAGGTGATATTCTATTAATGTTCACGTTCACACAGTCGGTGATTTTTGCCGGCCGTCTTTCCTGCAACGGCAGTTTTTCTGTATTTCCTTTCTCCTGTAATGTGACTTGATCGCTTTAAACTCCGCACACTGAGCTCTGATTGGTCAGCAGGCAGTGCTTTCACTGAGTTGAGATCTTAGCCTGCAACCTAACCTGGTCCCGACCAGGTTAGCCGCACAGCATAAGTTACCATGGAGATCTAGCCTGCTAAAAAGAGAACCAGTTCGTAGGACCGGAAACCCCGAGTTTTCCCTGAAGTTAGCCGGCTAAGCGAAAATCCTGCTTCGTAGTATACCCCCCAGGAGTCAAGTATCTTCTTTCCCAAGCTGTGCTGTTATATAGAAGAGTTTGAAAGCATTTGAAAATAGCTACCATTGGAGAAAGTTAGGGGAAATATCACAATTCAATTCATATTTGAGTATTTCCTTAAAAAGGTTCAGATTCTGTCCGTACCAACTTACCTAACTTTGTTGCCTGTTTGGCTTTAATCACCTGTGTTAGTGAGAAACATCCCCCATCATCCTTCTCTCTGACCTTACGTTTCTGTGCTCTTAGGAAATGTATTTCTGGGCTTCAAATCTGAGCTTGAAGAAGTGTACAAGGTCTACTGCCAGAACCATGACGATGCCATCTCTCTGCTCGAGAGCTACGAGAAAGAAGAAAACATCCAGAGCCACGTGTTGGAGTGTCTGGAGAGACTGAGGTGAGTCACTGAGAGGAGGGAAACAAGGATCTCTCACTAGTTTCAGGTTTCAGCTTGACTTGTGTGTTTGATTTAAAACACTTTTTTCGCATGATCGTGTGTTTTTAAAAGCATGAAATCAAAGCAAGAGTTGCCGCGACTAATACGAGTATAAAGTTGTTTTCGAACATTAACTGTAAAAGTCTGTCGATCATTTATGGTTTGTAGAGTTCAGTAAGTTAACTTTTTGGGGGGGAAATCAACTTGAAATAGGTTTTTCTGTAGAATACAAACTTTAAAGTTGATTCTGTAAACACTGATGGCATTCAGACTTTCAGTTGTCAGTACATATATATTTTAAAAGGTTGTTGTGTAGTGAGACCACAGTCAGGTGTCCTGTTGGCTGATACTCTCATGGAAACAATTTATGATGGGGTTTTTATCAGACTTTGAACTGTGAAGCATTAGCTAGTTATGAAAGGGGAGTGCAGTCCAAGTACATCTTTAAACAGAAGATGCACTTTTGAACTTTAATACATTTTTCTATTTGCCAATTTTCAGTAAACATGCCTTTACTATATTCCTATCGTACACATGCTGTATGTGCACTAAGATGGAGCGCTGTGACTTCTCAGTAATGTAGAGCAGTCAAAGAATGTGATCCAACTGGTTTCACTTGTCTAGTTTCAACATCTGTCACTCGGAAACTTGATAATGTTGTAAAAGTAAGTCATCAATCAGGGTTTGAAGATAAACACAGGTTGGTTCTATGGAAGGGCACTGTATGAGCCAATTAACATCTGTGGGTATAAAGGTAGGAACCTGTTTGGTGGTGAGAGGTTCCGCCGGAAGGCCATACAGTTTTTGACCACACACGGAGAACGCACACACGGAGAACGCTCACACAAGGAGAACACACACACACGGAGCACACACACAAACACGGGATTACAAGCAAAGCAAAGGTATTGTGTAAACGGTAATATCGTGTGTTGAATATGGAAAGAAGCAAGTAAAAATGGAAACCAGTACAAATGGAAATAAATGGACTGTTTCGAACTGGAAACTTTGTTTCTGATCTTTATTCGGCAGCAAACTTGTGTGCGTCAATTACACCCACAAAGCGGATCCTCAGACGCTCTACAGGCACTGTTTCCAATAAGTCACACTTAACAAAAGGCCAATGTACAGCTGTGTGTTGTAAACACTGACAATCTTTGTTGAAATTAATTTGTTATCAGTTTCTTTTGAAATACTGCTTTTATACTCATTGTGTAAATTTACTATACTGTTGCTAGCCTCAGGAAAGTAATAGTATTTTTGAAGGGAGTGTCTGCTGCAACCTATTCAGCTTTGAAAGGTCATCTATCTACCACCCAGTAGAATTTGAAGAGTTTTACTGCCACACTGGGCCTCTGTCCAGTTTTAAAAGAGAATTCACAAAACAAAACCATAACAACCACGGTGCAGCTTCAGGTTTTCTTGCAATGTAAAATCCTGGATTAAGTCCCTTCATAAGAAAATACTTCCTTTGAGTTCTTAGAATTTAACTTATAGAAATATGAAGCATTAATGACATTTTCTAATCAGATCATAGGTTAATAAATCCTGTTTTTGTCATCTTTTTCCAACCTTCACTTCAACAGGGCCATATATCGAGAGTGGTAAGTGTCCATAACAAGTGATGTCATGATTTTACAGAATGAGAATCGTCTCGACCGCATGCCTGTTGCTCATTAACCCCCGGGAAATGACCTCTGTGTGTGTTGTGTGTGTTTGTGATGCTGTGGAAGACTCTAAAACATGTGTGCTGGCATTTAATGTTCTTCTCTGGACTAAGATGAATTCAATGTATTTGTTGTTTGTGCATGTGCATGTGAATACTGTATATAATTGTTGGGAAGAGACATATTCCGTCTCATTCATGGAAAAGAAAGGTAATCGTTGATTCTAGGAAATCTAATGCCATCTTCTGGACAAAAAAAGCAATAACAATTCACATGAACTGATCTAGTTAGTATTATTTAAAATATAATACCCATTATAGGATTTCTCTATTGTGAAAATGTTGTAACTCAAAGCTCTATTTATGGAGAATAGGGAAACCAAAATTCTAACTCTTACACCATAAACAAGTCATATTGCATGTGTATTCCTAATTTGACAAAGTGAAAACTGTGAATGTTGACAGTTTTTACTGTTTAAATTTGGAAATGTGTTTACCCGAAATAGGCAGATAAGATTCCACAAATCATACCTCAATTTCTAACACCTTATTTTAACAGTAGCAGTATATTTTCTTTGACGCTCATGCAAACATCCAATCACAATTTGACTTTGAACACCTGCATTATGCAATTGACCTTGTTACTATGTATCCAGAAGATTGCATTAAAACTAATCAAATCGATATTTTCTTTCTATTTGTGTCTTCTTTTTCCATTCACGTCTCCCAAAAACTGTATGATCATCATCAGAATATATGAATATGTGATGATGGTTACATATCATTGGATCATACATCCACATGATACAGAGACGTGTGTTACCTGGGAACATAATGGAATAGCTGTGATGGTGATAGTGTCTGTGTGTGAGCTTCTCTTCACATATCGTCATTTCTTCCTCCAACCAAACCCTCTCTGCTGTCTCTGTCACTTTCTTCAGGGGGAAAACAAACTACATCAACCTCGGCTCCTTCCTAATCAAGCCGGTTCAGCGGGTGATGCGTTACCCTCTGCTGCTGATGGAGCTGCTGGGGGCCACACCCGAGAGCCACCACGACCGGCCCCTGCTGACCGAGGCTCTCCAGGCCATCAAAGAGATCAACGTGAACATCAACGAGTACAAACGCAGGAAGGACCTAGGTAACAAACAAATCCCTTTAAAGCCTGCTGGTTGGTCTGTATTTTTGGAAATCGTTTCTTCAGTGCCGAGTCTGAACTATTTTCCCTCTGCCGCCCCCAGTGGTTAAATACAGGAAAGTCGACGAGGACACGTTCATCGACAAGATCTCCAAGCTGAGCATGCACTCCATCATCAAGAAATCCAACCGAGTCAGCAGCCACCTCAAACACCTCACAGGAATCTCCCCCCAGGTACATCCCTGCTTTTTAGTTCTTAACCCAAGCGAAGTTTAGACTGTCAGGTTTTTGTGAATGAAACCGTGCTGATCTCTTTCTTCTGTCTTTCTCACAGATTAAAGATGAAGCGTTTGATGAAGCAGAGAAGAAGTTCAGGCTACAGGAGAGACTCATCAAGTCTTTCATCAGAGATATTTCCTTGTACCTGCAACATATAAGGGTACGAACATGTTATCACTATGATATAAACTCCCAAGTAGACACAACTAGAAATATCTCCTGTGGCTGATCCGTGTCGTTTAGATTGCATCTTAAAGTACTTCCAAAATGTCATTTTTCTTAACAACGATAAATCCTAAATTTATTTTCAAACTAACTCCTAAAAAACAAATATATTCCCATTGTTTTTAATGAATATATACATGTAATAATAATTCTTCATTTAGCTGATATAGCTCAGTATTTAGTTTATTGTTTTTATATTATGGACTGTCATACATAACAACGCAAGCCTGTTCCTCCCATTCTACATCAGTGCAGAAGATAAAAACATATAATATGCCTATTGTTAATGAGACCAGTGAACTGCACACACACTCCACCGAGTGTATCTATGAATATGTTGTTGGTGCTTGCATGGATTGTAATAAAATGCATCTCTTCAGGAATCGGCGTCTGTGAAGGTCTTGGCGGCCATCAGTTTCTGTGACATCTACACAGAGCGCAGCATTCTCGACCCGGAGCGATTCCAGAGAGCTCACCGCTGCATCAGCGACAAACAGTTCACTCAATTTGTAAGTCCTCCTCCTGTTTACCATCTTTGAATTTCTGTTGGAGTGCATTAAAGGTGTCCTATCATGCAAAATGCACTTTTTGATGTCTTTTATACATAAACATGTGTCCACAGTGTGTCAGGGACCTCACCGATATAACGTAATATCGGAAATGTGGGCTGGCTTTACACCCACGGCCCTATCAGAAACGTCGCTGAATCAGAAACAATGCAAAAGTTTTTTATATATTTTGATATATCTGAGACCCATTATATATGCCTAAAAATAGCATGATAGGTGACCTTTAAGAATGACTCTGATGCCATCTATCAACCCTCTTCTCCCCTTTCCCCTTGCAGAAGGAGCGCACAGAGGCCTTGGTCATCAACCCGCTCACCCAGCTGCTCCTCATGTTCGCCGGGCCGCACAAGCTCATCCAGAAGCGCTTCGACAAGCTGCTGGACTACGACAACTGTAAGGAGCGCGCCGAACGCCTCAAGGACCGCCGCGTCCAGGACGAGCTGCAAGCGGCGCGCAACAACTACGAGGCGCTCAACGCACAACTCCTGGACGAGCTGCCCAAGTTCCACGGAGCAGCAGAGAATCTGTTCACCGGCTGCGTGAGGGCCTTCGCTCACTCACAGAAGAACTTCACCAAGACTACGCTGGGAGAGTTGAAGCCCCTCCTACAAGCTGTGAGTAACTTTGGTTAAGAGTGTATTGAGGATTGTGGGACATGTTGACATAATAATCATTAAATTATATTCTGTTGTTAACCCTGACTTTTTCTTTACACTTCTTTTCTTCCAGTTTTCGAACAAAGTAGGCCCAGAGGGGAACCTGATCTCTAAGTTTCAAGAGGAGTACGGTCGGGTTCTCCAACTCCTGCAGAGCTTTAGCTTCTGCCCGGAGAACCTTCCTCCTGCCGCCTCCACCAAAAAGACCGTAGAGAAGAAGACTATGGAGAAGCAGATTTCAAGAAAGCATCTGCCGGCACCTGTGAGTGAAACGCTCATCTTATATGCTTTCTGCTATACTTCTTATTCAACAGTGTAACATTCTGTACGATTCAAACGGTGCAATACTCATATAAAGGATTATAACTGTATTACACTGTGCAATAATCAGGTTTTAATTAACAAAATCTTTATTAAAAAGAAATACACCACTGGCATATCCACCCTGATCACAACACACGTCCTCTGTTTTTCAGTTTTTATTGATTAATTATATTTTCTTTGTTTTGTTTGAGTTTTATGTACTGCGACCTTGAGAGCCTTGAAATGCGGCTTTTAAAAATAAAATGTATTATTATTGTAAAATACACTATTTTAAATATGTATCTAGTGTTTCCCACAGATCTGAAATATACTTGTGGGGGGGGGGGTGCTAGCGGAGCACGCTCATGAACTGTTCGCCGGAGCCTGTCAGCGGAGTTACTGCGTGCGGAGCACATAAAGCAGACCCTTCGCACGATAGCAGAGCGAACAGGTACAGGAGGGGTAGTTAATCGATCGCAGATGGCGTCGTGCTCGCGGACGGATAAAAAAAGATTATACCTAAATGGGTCGCGAAATATAGTTTGGCGGATGTTAATATACCTGGGCCCAAGTCTACCTGTGGGAAACCCTGGTATCGTTCTTAGATATTGTACTGCAATGTGCACATATTACATTTAGCCTATTCTAATTTTCTTTTCTTTCTTTCTTTCTTTATTCTAAAATAGAACAACTGTAACCAAAATGCCATTTCCTCCTGGGGATGAAATACGTATTCTATTTCTGTTTCTGATTGGTGCCAGACCAAAGTCATGATCTAACTGTGACTCCTGTCCTTGTCGCTTTCAGCCCAACCACATCTCGCAGACGGACGAGCACCGGGCGGGACTTCTGGCACGTTACGGACCTGAGAAACTTTTCCAGGCAGAGAGAAACTTCAACGCAGCCCAGGATCTGGACGTGTCTGTACTGGAGGGAGACCTTGTGGGTGTTATCAAGCAGCAGGACCCCATGGGTAGCAACAACCGCTGGCTCATTGATACAGGAGGTAGGTCATTCATACTCAAAGATTCAAAGGTTTTATTGTCCTATGAACATAAGCTACAGTGTAGAAATGGCAATGAAAATCTTATGAATCTTTTTGCACAAAAATACAAATAAAAAATAGTGCATGAAGTCTACATACTGTATATGTAAATAGATTATGATATGGAAGAACAGAATGTGAAATTACATAAAGACGAAATTAAATACGGTTTATTGCGGTGATAACTATTTAGATAAATAAGTAGATTGCAAGATGACACATGTTTATCGAGGCACTTTACAGAGCTCAGGTGTTTAGCAGTCTTACGACCTGTGGGATAAAACGGTCCTTGAGTCTGTAAGCCCTGCCCTGACATTTGAAAAACTAATGATAATAATAATAATGAATAAATCTATTTCTTTCCTTGTTTTGCAGTCGGAAAGGGTTTTGTTTACAGCTCCTTCCTCAAACCCTACAACCCACGCAGGAGCCAATCGGACGTGTCCATCGAGAGCCAGTCGTCCAATGAGTCGGGTTACGGCGGCTCCTCGCCTGTTTTCTCACGCCAAAACAGCAACAGCACGCTGACCTTCAACCAGGAAGCAGCCACCGTCAGCTTCTCCACGTCGCAGCCCACGGGTCATTCCTCACCACACCCTTCGCTCGACTCTGCCTCGTCTCGTCGGAGTAACCCCAGAGACACTCCCAGCCTCGACCCTGCCAGCCAGAGCAACTCCATCAACTCCTCGCCCAGAAATCCCTCAAACCGCAGGGAGTTCTCAGAACCAACTCACAGAATGTCCTCCAGAGACACGGAGCCTTCTCACCGGCATCACAGAGACTCGTACGATACGGGTGCGAGCAGCCACAAGGAGACGGCAGACCTCTCGGAGACAGACTCTTATTCTTCACTCAGAAACAATCGATCGCAGCGGCATGGACACACGGACAAAACCTACAGTTCATACCAGTTGAGAAACGGAGATAACGGGGGCCAAAAGAGGGCCGCTCCCCCCAGAGAGGAGTACATCGAGCCGGAGCCGGAGCCAGAAGCAGAAGATGAGAGTGAAGTTGACGGTCATCAGGTGAGAGGAAGTTTGAATCCTATGATGGAATTTAAGATATTATAACAAGGGCAGACATTTAATTTTCAAGTGATGAGTGACCATGTTAAACTAAGGGATTGATGTTATAGAGAAAATCATACATCCCAAATAACTCAATATTGATACTTTAACCAGGGCTTAGGGTTGACCATTGATGCTTTCAAAACATATTTTGACAATCAGATATTTGATTTATAATCATTGGGGTGGATTTTATGACTAAGTGGCCTAATGCAAATCCTTTTATTGAAATGTTGCCTTTGAAACCAGGAAGAAAAACACACTTAGGATATTACAATAGACAAAATCTAAGATTAAATAGCTTGTATCATATCAAAATATCGATATAAAATCAATATAGAGCCCATCCCTATTTGAACTTTAACCCAACAAAAGCAGCTTTTGTAAGAGTTTCTTTTATCTATTTAAAAAAAAATCATAAATCATTGTTGTTTCCCACAAGCCCATCCTAGATACTACCACCAGATATTAATACTGCTTTTAAAATGTAGGGGGAAAAGCTGTGTTGACTGACTTTATTTATTTTTCCCGTTTTTAGATCTACTATGCTATCTACTCCTTCGAGGCTCGTTGTGCCAATGAGCTGACCATCTCAGCCAATCAGAGGCTGCGGATTCTGGAGTTCGAGGACTTGAACGGCAACAGTGAGTGGTGGCTCGGGGAGGCGGAAGGCCGGCGAGGCTACGTGCCTTCAAACTACATCCGCAAATCAGAATATACCTGAACAAAGTTTCACCCTGAAGACTGTACGACGCCTTGAGGAAGGCTCACTCTGAGCAGACAAGCACCTGGACACGTGGTCGCTTATTTCTGATCTGTTATATCATGGAGTTTGATAGTGAGACAGACTGACCATTGCGCATGACTCTGCTCCTAAGAGTTAGCATTTTATGCCTATATTTATAGACTTTTTTATATTATTTTTACTTACTGGAAATTGCACCTACTCCCTCTTGTTTCCAGTGATAAACCTGTGAATTGCACCATATTTTTGGCCATATTCTCTGTGGCTGAAGACAATGAAATGTATGTTTAAAAGTCTTAAAGGTTGACGCATTGGGAGATTGCAATGGAAATGTGAATGTTTTGGGTTCAGGCTGGATTTTTTTCTAAACAAACATCAAGATGTATGAAGACAGACTTATGTTAACACTGTGTTAATGACTTTTTTCTGCTTGTGGTTTACCACTAGAATGATGAATGAATATTAGATGATATCTATACGGTAATGTTCAACAATCAAGGTTTGAGGCACTTATGTTGATTATCCACTGGTGGCGAGCTTTGAAGTGTCTGTGGAGCAATCAACTCAAATCAAGAATTTGGCGTATTGTATGAATTGAATCTGTAATTAAAAAAAAGCTGAATATATGGTTTAGAACTCCCCTTGTCGATACACTTTGACACCGTGCAAACAGGTGATGACCGGCTGAACCTGTCAGAAGAGGTTAAAGAACACGGAGAAAGAGGTCGTGCTCCAAACTCAACTCTTTGTACATTATATATAGTGCTGTATATTGAGAATATGCTATTGCACCCACTGTAAAGTGATCACTGTTTGAATAAAAAAAACAGCTCCGCTGACAAATTAAGACAATTTCTTACAATTATTTTTGTTTGTTTTCAAGGGTGTTGTTGGAAAAATACTTTACAACGTGTTTTTACAGATTAAACTTTTTTTAAATTTTACAAATAAAATCCCTTTTCACCTTAATTCATAAACATAGGAGGGAAAAAGTCCAGATCAGACATAGAAAAGGGATCAGACATTTTTTCTCAGTTGCCTGTCAGGGTTTCTGTAGTTTATCATGCAACAATTTGAATATTCTGTTCAACTGATACATTACAAATCAGTGCTGAACTTATAGTAATTATTACTTTAGCATATACTGTCTAGAAGCCAAGCAGAAGTATAATACAGTACAATTAGCAATAATGTATACAGTGCAAAACTGAATAAGGGTGTTTTGCAAAATGGTACCATTTTCATAACGTTTGCAAATTGTAAACAAGATTGATGTGATACAATTCCAGCTCTTCAACTTGTTGGGAAACCTGAACTCAGGTTAATACATTTTTTGATTTAAGGGATACCTTTATTGATTGGATTATTAAAAACACACCAACTATGCCAAGAGCGTCAACATATCACCTCCCATCGACTTTCTAACTCTCTACCACTTTATACCTGTAAGCACCTCCACAGTAAGAAAGGTCACAAGGCAAAAAGACAAAGTATTGAATCACATGTAACTCCTGTCAAATCAATGCAGTTTCCTAATGATTTACCGGTGGGTGGAGTGTTAGTGAGGGGTTATTTAGGACGGTGTGAGCATGAAGCCCACCATAGATTGACACTGGTCCCATCATGGCCAGAGCCTGCTTCAACATGGTCTGCTCTATAGCTTTGATATTACAACTGTGTGCATTCACTGCATTCGGTCAGGACTCGTACTGTATGCGAGTATGCATATGGCATAGATCTTATTATTTTTGAAAAAGCATTTATAGCATTAAAAAGTGTCAAAGGGAATTAAACCTAGAACTTGACAAATAATTGATATATTTGTATTTGGTTACAGGATGTCACAGAACCAGATGAGGTACAATCATTTTGACCTTGAAATAAACGTTGAGTGTTTTATGAGTGGAATGCTTAAATGCCCCTCTTTTCCTCACAGAGTATTATTATGACGATTATACCACCGACAGCCCGGCAGAAGATGTTGATTTGACTCTAGATGACTGGTTGTATGAACTCATGGATGTCGCAGGTAAATGACCTCTAAATGCTTAAAGATGCAACAGTTTTTATCCTCTCTGTAAAGATGTATTGATCAAGGCCTTTACTGATGCAAATACATCAATTGCACTCCGCTCCTGACTGATTTTTCTGTGTGGTAAGTAACTGATGAGTCTGCATGTGAGATCTTTCATTACGCAAGAATTTTATGTTTTTCTGTCTCCATGCAGATGCCTGTTATCCAGAACCATGTCTGAACGGAGGAATCTGTAACCACGCTGCTAATGGGGGCTTCCCGTGTTTTTGCCCTGAGCCTTACTCAGGAAAGAAGTGTCAGACAGGTATGACTAAGATCAGCTAGATGAGAACTTTAAGTATAATATTTAATGTTACATAGTTGAAATCTTACCATTATAGAGGTAGAGATTTTGTTAAAGGTAAGGCATAATGATAGCTGGAGATTAATGAATTTATTTTTCCTGCTTTCATTTGATTTCATGTTTGCCTTTAAAGCTACCATGCCCAGGTTTGGAAAAAATATAACTTATAGCGCCCCCCAGTGCTGGTATACAAATACACAACGTTGGCAAAACAATTAACACACAGATTTAAATGTAGTTTTAAGCTTGGTTTTATGTAATACTACTTAACATCAATAGAATTGTCCAAGTCTTAGCCAAAAGTCTACTTCTTAACTGTTTTTCCATGGTCTGATTGTTCAATTAGGCATTAAAACAACAATAAAACACACAACTTCTATTATTACAACAGGGGAAAGCAAACCATTGAGCTGCTGAACCGGACAAAAAGCTAGTAAGGCAAGCATGTAAAGAAGGACACATATTATGCAGACAATAATGCACTACTGTGTTATGCAGACAATCAGCACACAGCATAATATCACGTTAGCCTACATTACAAAAAAACAGGCTCCTGCACCAAGGGTCACAAACGCCCCTCCTTTAAATGTTCTTGCCCTCATGGATATACTGGGAAGTTCTGCGAAGTTGGTAAATACAATGTTGTCTCTGTACTAAATTGAACAAAAACGTTTAACCTCTATAATTCCAGAAATCATATAAAAAACTATTTTAGGATCAAATGACTGATACCAAGAGGATGGAGAGTTTTACCGCGGGATTGTGAGTGAAACGGTGGAAGGGAAAGACTGTCTGGACTGGAATGCCTATTTTATCGTGCAGAAAGGAGGAGATCCCTTCCAGGAATATGCAGGCTTCGATGGAATTGGACCACACAAATACTGCAGGTGAGGGGTCCATCCATCCATCCATCTTCTCCCGCTTATCTGTGGTCCGGTCGCGGGGGTAGCAGTTCCAGAAGAGAGCCCCAAACTTCCCTTTCCCTGGCCACATCAACCAGCTCTGACCCAAGGCGCTCCCAGGCCAGCGAAGAGACATAATCCCTACACCTGGTCCTAGGTCTACCCCTTGGTCTCTTCCCAGCTGGACGTGACTGGAACACCTCCCTAGGGAGGCACCCAGGTGGCATCCTAACTAGGTGCCCGAACCACCTCAACTGGCTCTTTTCGACGTGAAGGAGGAGCGGTTCAACTCCGAGTTCCTCCCGGATGGCTGAACTTCTCACCTTATCTCTAAGGGAGACACCAGCCACCCTGCGGAGAAAAACCATCTCGGCCACTTGTATCCGCGATCTCGTTCTTTCGGTCATGACCCATCCTTCATGACCATAGGTGAGGGTAGGAACGAAAATGGCGCGGTAGACAGAGAGCTTTGCCTTCTGGCTCAGCTCCCTTTTCGTCACAACGGTGTGGTAAAGCGACTGCAGTACCGCTCCCGCTGCTCCGATTCTCCGACCCATCTCACGCTCCATTGTTCCCTCACTCGAGAACAAGACCCCGAGATACTTGAACTCCTTCACTTGGGGTAAGGACTCATTCCCTACTTGGAGTGGACAGTCCATCGGTTTCCTTCTGAGAACCATGGCCTCAGATTTGGAGGTGCTGATCCTCATCCCAGCCGCTTCACACTCGGTTGCGAACCGATCCAGTGAGTGCTGAAGGTCGCAGACCGATGAAGCCATCAGAACCACATCATCTGCAAAAAGCAGTGGTGCAATCCTTAGTCCACCGAACTGCAGACCCCCTCCAGCCCTGGCGGAGGCCAACCCTCACCGGAAATGGGTCCGACTTACTGCCGAGGACCCGGACATAGCTCTCGCTTNATTTGACTCGAGTGTTTCTTCAACTTAATGTGTTGCTTAAAATAATACTTCTGCATACAGTATGTGACACTGAGTGTTGCACGGCCAGATACGGCTCAGGCTGAGCCGTATCTGGCCGTGCAACACTCAGTGTCACATACTGTATGCAGAAGTATTATTTTAAGCAACACATTAAGTTGAAGAAACACTCGAGTCAAATGTAATTAAAGTCAGATCGTGTCTTGGACGGGGCAGTGGTATCATAAACCTGTTAATGTACGCATTCAAACACTTTTTCTTTTACCAGCTGTATTCACCTTGCAGGTGCAGCTATGTGGCTTTTATGGATAAAGTGTTTAAGTCATGGATGTTTAAAGTTTAACTTCTTCATATTTGACCAATATTAAAGTTCACTTTTCATTCAGGAAGTATGACGCTGCGCTGTCAGTACGCTTCTCCATGTTTGTGATTGGTCGAATGCTCCAAATACCACCCCTTTCATGTGAACACGCACCTAACTAGATAGGACACGGCTGGCTTGAGCGATCCACTTGATAACCCACGTCGTAGTACAGTTTAGCGAGAGCGCGTATGTTTTGGATTAGACCAACCGGCTAACTCAAACATATCCAGGTTAGGTTGAACCAGCTTCGTAGTACAGGCCTCTGGTTGGTGAAAAAGATATCCAAAGGATGTGCATCTTTGAGAAACTGTCTTCTTACCGATAGAGTCTGTGTCCTGCAGTGTTTCATACAGGCGTTGTGACAGGTCGATCACAGAGCCGATGTTGCCAAAGAGCCCATCAAAGTCCACATTCTTCACCTTTAATAAATGCAGAAAGAAAGTTAAAAAAACACTGATAAAAGTTTCTTGGTTAGGTTTTGATGATGATGACATATTTTCTCCGCGTCTACATCTTCTAACCTGCTTCTTCTGCAGTGGCTCGATGATCTCCTCGACACACATCTGCAGGTCTTTGATGTAGTCCTTCTCCGTCTGCAGCAGCTCCTCGATGACCTTTGACCTCTTCTCCAGCATCCTCAGCTCGGGGTCCTCGGTGCCTGCGGCGGGGGAGGAGTCCAAGGTTTCGACGGAGTCCAGAGGTTTGGGTTGGGAGGACAGGAGTGTCATCTCTGGAGAAGAAGAAGACAGATTTAGTTCATCTGCCTTGTATATGTGTTTCTTTTGTTGTTATTATTATGTATTTTATTTCAATGTTGTTGTTTGTGGTTAAGGTCCGTTTGTTTATTTTCTTTTTTATGGTTGACCCTGGTAGAATGGTCTCTTTTACTCCCTTTATTGTACATGTGAGGGTCTATGTATGTATGCTTTCTGTGTTTGACGATGTCACAAATAAATCACATATTAAAAAAAAAAAAAAGTCCATCTAATATAACGAACATAGGTTTCAACATTGATCTTACAACTTCTCTTATAAAATGTTTAAGTAAATATTATGATTTTTTCCCATGAATGGATCAATTTTGGCTCATAATTTGCCATGAAATTGGCACAACACAAAGCTCGATACAGCAAAAAAGGGAAAGAAAAACAGTTCCCAGCCCATGTCTCCATTCATTGTATCCAACATGATCCTGCACCCCCGCCCACCTACCCGGCCCGCCTTTTACTCTTCCTCTCCTCCGACTAGCTTTTGATCAATGTCTCCGCTCTCACTCCCAGAGGCCCGATCTGTGGGGGTGCCCGGGGTCGGAGGGAGAGCCTGGTTCATGCACCGCTGCGCTTTATGAATGGACCCATAACTGGAGTGGACTCAGGCTCTTTGTATGCGGCACAATGGCCAGTGACAGCAACTACAGACGTACAGGCTCTCAGGGGCCGAGCAGACACTGAAGAGGAGGCAGTTAGAGGGGACTGAGGGAGCAGAGATAACAGCGCTGGACAGTGATGATACATGTCGTATACATATCTTCAGTCACCACATGTGCTCTCTGTATCTGTGATTACTCAGTGGGACATTAGGCACTTAGGTGAAAGGATATGTCTGGAGATATTCTATAATGGCCAAAAAGAAAAACATAAAAACTAAGCTCACAATGAATTATAGCTGCATCCAAAAGCAAAGCCTCTTTCTTTGTGCCATAGACTGGAATGTAATCAAAACAACTATAAAAAAGCCACACTATTAAACTCACTGACACGTTCCTTCATTACCATACTAATTAGAGCATTAAACCTGTGGCAGTAAATACGTCCCCGAAGAACTATTTTATTCTGCTGTTTAAGTCATTTTAGGTTAAAACAGTGCTTGGTTGTTTTTTGAAATGTTTACACGTTTTTTAAGACTTACAACTTCATGAGAAACAAATGGACTTGAGGCTGAGGAGGTCGTAAAGTATCATGAGATGGACTAACACAATGTCAGTTTGGACTTCTCATGGATTTGTTGACAAAATATAGATTAAAACCACCCTTTCCTTTTACATTAACGGTGAAGTGCAGAGGAAAATAAATAGTGGCAGCAGAAACACCTACTGTAACCGTCTTGTAAAGACAAGTACCACTTTAATTCAGATGGGTTAGTGTGCTACTTAGAGCAGTGGTTCCCAACCTGGGGGGCGCCAAAGATCGCAGGGGGGGCGCCAGGCCTCAGATGATTTAGACTTTTTTTTTTTTTAAATATAATTGTAAGGCAATACATGATTGTCACTAAAAGCCTTGTCTCTTCATTACAATAACATATAAAAAATAATTGATTCATTCATTTTCATAAAAATTCAAGTTAGTAGCTAATAAAGGCATAAAAAGACAGAAATGTATGATTCTTTCTATAGAAATGTTTCTTCTGCCCGTAAAGTTTCCAAACAGGGCTTGTCTGGATGAGCGCATTTTTAAAACATGGTCATTTTCAGTTTCAGTTTCAGGTTTCAGTTGGATTATTTGTCACAGTTGCTCCGATCAGATCGGTCTCCTCCATTTTGTAGATATTTACGACTTTTGAATCCACATAAACACATCGGCAAAATCCGGCTTACTTTGAGCAAGTGTTTTAAACAGTTTAATCCCTTTGTGAATTGTTTCCACTTGCGCCGTCCTTTAATTTCTTCATAAAGCGGGAATCCAAATGAATTAAGTCCAATAACCATCAAAGTCACTCCAATAGTGCTCCTTAATTACGCTTCCTCCTTTAACAAAATACTTCACATTCATCCAGTTTGGGACAGTAGTTGTAGCATTTTTGAGACTTTTCAACTTTAATTACCGCTGTTGCGCCCCCCCTTTGTTTGTGTGTGTGGGGGAGTCATTTGGGGGGGCCCTTGGGAAAAAAGGTTGGGCACCCCTGACTTAGAGGATATGTGGAGTGTAAAAACAGCTGCAGCTCAAGGTTGCGTATATTTTAGATCGAGGCTCGGTAGGTCAAGATGTAGCATGCGATGTGTTGACAGACAAGGATGACCTCACTCTAGCTCCTAACAGAAGCTGTCAGAGGCTAATGAAGTTAACTCTGCTTACCCTAATGAACTTCAAAATGCTTGCATGCGAGACACACCAACACACACACACACACACCAGACTGCTGCAGTGTCATAGTCATGTTTAAATCAAATCAAGGCAATTACATCCTTTTATAAATGTAGTTCCTAAGTGTGAACTTCTCGTGTAAAAACCTTGCACCACTTTAATGCAATGTCTTTTTTTACTTTTTGATGCAAACAAAATATAAAATGTTGACTCAAATGTCTGTCTGATCCTCAGGCCACCTGCCTTTCGTCTGCCTCTCTCTTCACGTGACTCGGCTAAAGCTCGACTCAAAGGAGCTTTTCTCACTTTGCTCGCACCATTTATCCCTGCATCATCCGTCACTGCTGCTCCACCAATCGCCAACATTTCCCCACTGCTGAGAAAGTAGCTCACTAATGGGTTTTAAAAGTCACACAAGCAGCAACACAACACAAAGACCGACTGAAAACAAAAGACTCCGAATTTAATTGGAATCAATCGGCTCATTCCCACGTTTGATCCTCCACATACACAGCGTCCTATATATGCTCCACTTCACACGGCTAAATAGGAAGCTATTTCCATCATAACAACCTGTGGAAATGCAGGACCAGAATCTGACCTAATTTAATAAATGTCCAATTTACTTTTCTTTGTGGAGTATTATAAAGAAAGCATGGGCATTGTGCACTTGTTGGCAAAACACACAAACAACATGGGGCTAGAATATTTTACTGTACAATTCACTTCCTTTCCAATCTGATGTACAGCAGAAATGCTATTCACTAGGTTGTGAGTGAGGAATGAAGACATGTAAGGTGCCTACAGGGTGAGGTGTAACATTAAACTATCATCGTGTGGAACGGGATCTGCCCTTTTCACCCAGTCCGCAGCAACAGGAAACACCCACATAACAATCACTGAACATGTACTCAATCACAGTCTGTGACAAAGGCCAACACAATCCCTCACAGCAAACAACCACCTGCTGCTGAAACATAATTATAGGAGCAAGCCTTCAACTGGTCTAGATCTAGAAAACTAAGAGGTGCTCTATGAACTATCATTCACAATAATAATACGAACAATCGTAACCAACTGTTGAGGATGTTATTCAAGTATCTAAAGTCAGAACATGGATGAGCGGAATTGTTGCCAGCTGATTTTCCTCTCAATCAGGTATGATACAATACCACTTCATTTGTAACATCTCTTCTTTCAAGGTTCAAGGTTCAAGGCTGTTATTAGTCATACTTATAGCTACAGTGAAGTTATGACAATGAAAATCTTAGGTCACAGGCTCTTATCTATAAGATAGTGCTAGTGTTCACTAGTGTTAGCTGTGTTAGGACTGTAAACACCTGTTGAATACCAAGTCAATACCTGCTATATGAGGACTAATAGAGGACCTACTCTATGTGATAGAAGGATAACTGCTAATAAATAATACATAAAGCTTTCACTCTTGTCCTAACAAGAAAACATTGGACAGGTTCAAGAAATAGATGTTTAAACGCTGGAGGCAAAATACACGTTTAAACTGCTCTGGGTGTGTATCTCATTTGCGGGATCAGTATGTGCTGTAGCATACAATAAGGCTTGGGTATGTTTAAACACACATACTGTAGAAGTAGTTTGTTTACTGTATAATCAACTCTTTATGCAGACTTCCAGACAAGGGGAACCAGGATTCTGGCTCTGCGGGGGGTGAGGGGTTGTCTGTGCAGAAAGCCAGCTGTAATTGCATTCAAGCGCTGACCTGGTTACACATATTAAAGAGTTTGGAAACATTTAACAAAGACACTGCTTATGTGATATGGGGACATATATGGGGTTATGGGCTAATGCATGCAGAGGAACTGTACTCATTTGAATGTCATTAAACATGTCTCCTTATCCAACTGTTATATAAACGGGACTCAATTAATTATGTTTTTCAAATCCATTGAGGCTGCTTATGAGGTTCTGATCTGAATAGTCAAACAATATCTAGGCAATACAGTGTTTCCCTTAGGGTTTACTGCTTTGAGGGGGGGCTGCCTGAGCGGGGGGGGCATTGGGATATTTATTTTTGCAATCCTCTGGAGCAGAGAGAGGAGCTGTGGATTATTGTTATTGATTAGTGCATCAGTGTTTCTTAGGGTAAAAAACACTAAACTCACAACTTAAAATGCAAGCGTTTAGTTTATTTAATAAAAGAGCAAATGCTTAATGTGAAAAGTGACGGTAGATATAGATTAGTTGCAATTTGGTTCCCAAAAAAAAAGAGAAATTAATTAAAAAAATATCCTCCTTTTTTTTTTAAAACACCTTGAATTCAGGTTGGCGCGGGGCTCCGTTGGCGGGGCTCCGTTGGCGGGGCTCCGTTGGCGGGGCGCAGCGCCCCTCCAAGACAATGGTAGGGGAAACACTGCAATATCTCTTTTCTTACACTGTCAAATGTTGCCCAAGATTTTAAGTGACTGCAATGAAAAGGCATCAACAGGTTGATTCAATACTATATAGAGCAGCAAACTTGGAACACTTCACAGGAAACAGACTGTTTCAAGTTGGAATCAGCTGAATGCCGTCTGGCCTTATGAATCATATTCAACACTAAGCTTGTAGATTAAACACACAGCACTGGACGTCTGGGAAAGTCACAGTATGGAGTGAGTGTGCTTAAAAGTGA